GTTACGAGGCAAATGTTACGAGGACTATGAATATGAAAAGAGACATTGGTGGAATAGAAATGTCAATGTAATAAAGGAAGATTATTATTGGGCAAAGAAAATCGCAGATAAGAGCCAAGGTAGGCATCTGCATTAAGATTCCTGCAGGTAGGGAAAAGTGCGTCGAACTGCTGATTATCGACAATATATGGATGGAGTTTCGTGATTGCGATCTTGCACCAAAACTATTTTTCGACAGATGCAACGATCGATGCTTTGTGTGAACAGTGCATTTTCGCAAACAAACATAACGAAAAAGTGTTAGAACATTATGATTTTCTGGATATGTCGCGATGCTGCAACGTGTGTGAACGAGTCACGTGCAAGTGCTCCGTGGAAGAGTGCGACGTGATCTAAAGAGAAAAAATGGAAAATCACGAGCGAGTGGAACGCGAACTGCTGGAGCAGTGCAGCCAGGTCGCTACTCTGGTGGAATGTATCGCGTGGCTGCAACGATGCGACGAGTGCATCATGCGGCTCGAAGAGCTTTGTCGCGTCAAGCGTCCGTGCCTCACCGTTGGACACAGACAATCCATGATGGCGAGGATCGCGCGACTCGCGGGTGCAAAGACACGATTGGAGCGACGTTTCGTGCACGTTGGCGGGTACGCGAGTCGCGACGAAAGATCTCTCGTCTGGCGAGAGAGATCGACGCCGCGTTTGAAAGCTGTATATCGACGGGTGCTGTGGTCAACGTTGATTATATCGAGCCGCGGCAGTTTTTGGAAGACGCGAGAAAAATAGTGCTCGAACGTGTGCGAGACGCCGTAGAAAGACACGGTAGTGCAAAAGTGAACACTGCGTTCAACGGCAAGTTTATGACAAACATCAAACGTGACATTAAGAGTATAAATACTAAGAACAGCGAGATATACCAATACACTGATTTGCGCGAGTACGAGCAGCATATCATCGAATCTACGTTGACATCACTCGAAGTGTTCCAGGAACGCGACAGCGGGTGGGCATTGTCGCGAATCCTCAATTTGATAGTGAATATGAACAAACTAAATCCCATGCGCGCGGGATGTTACTTCTAGGTGCCGCGGGAAATAGCGACGAAACGAGCGGTGATCAACGTTAGTATGATGGACAATGCGTGCTTCGCGTGGTCGGTGGTCGCCGCTCTGTACCCGGCTGAAAAGCATACGGAGCGAGAGTCATCTCCGCATTATACGACGGTGCTGAATCTCGCGGGAATCGAATTTCCGATTACTTTCAAAGACATTCCGAAATTCGAACGATTGAACGCGGTGTCGATCAACGTATACGGCATCGAGAATAAACAAGTCCTTCCTCTGCAGCTTACCAGTGACAAGAAGGACAAGCATGTCAATCTCCTGTACATGCAAGATCCACGCGACGACGGTGTCGGTCCCTCTGCGTGGATCAAGAACCTGTCGCGTCTCGTGAGCTCGCAACTAAGCAAAAAAAAGAACAAGAAATATTTCTGCGATCGGTATGTACATTTTAAAAAATTATTATAATTTCCCAACTTATTAATAAAATATAGGTAACAGTTATAATTTTTTTGTTTTTTTTTCAGATGCTAGCATTACTTCGGCACGAATGAGAAATTGCACACAATGGATTGCCAGAAGATCAACGATTGTGCTATTCGACTGCCGAGCGAGGACGAAAAGTGGCTCGAATTTGGGAACTGCAACAAGGAGCGCGTCCCATTCGTCGTCTACGCCGACCTGGAGTGCATTTTACGGAAGACGGAACCCGACTTGGAAGATGCGTCGTTGTACGCGTATCAACGGCATGAGGTGTTCAGCATAGACTACTACGTGCGTTGCTCGTACGATGACGCGTTATCGTCGTATCAGTTACGTTGCGACAAAGATTGTACAGCGTGGTTCGCGCGACAACTCAACGATTTGGCGCATCGCGTGAAAAATATCCGCCAACGTGCCCATGGAAACGTTGTCGAAAGAACAATGGGAGACGTACTGTAGCGCGACGCGTTGTCACATTTGCGAGAAATCGTTTCCGTCGGACGACACGCGGGTACACGATCATTGCCACTTAACCGGTAGATACCGCGGTCCAGCGCATTCAAATTGTAATTTAAATTATAAAAATTCATTATATATTCCGATCGTTTTCCACAATTTATCGGGCTACGATGCGCATTTTATAATTAAGGAAATCGCTACAGCATATGAAGGACGCGTAGATGTATTACCAATGACCAAAGAAAAATACATCTCCTTCACAAAACATGTCGATAGCACTAAAGATAAAACTGAAAATAATTCTCAAAGAAATTGCGTAAAATTACGATTTATTGATTCTTTCAAATTTCTCAGTACAAGTCTCGTTAAATTAGCGTCGTATCTCGATAAAGACAAATTAAAAATTATACGTTCAAAATTTTCATCACTATCGGATGATGAATTTGAATTACTGACTCGTAAAGGTGTCTTTCCGTACGAGTACGTTGACTGTGTCGAAAAATTGCAGGATACGCGATTACCACCGCGCGAATCTTTTTACAGTTCGTTAACGGGCGATACCGTATCCGAGAGCGATTACGCTCACGCGGCGAACGTATGGCAGCGATTCTCCATCCGAACGCTCGGTGAGTACAGTGATCTGTACATGAAAACCGATGTCTTGTTATTAGCCGACAATTTCAAAAATTTCCACGAAAGTTGCGTTGCGAGTTACGGTCTCGATCCCGCACATTATTACACCTTGCCTGGTTTCACGTGGGACGCGATGTTGAAACATACTCGTGTAAAGTTTGAGTTGCTCATATTGACATGATCATGTTCATCGAGCGCGGTATACGCGGTGGTCTCAGTTAATGTTCAGGCAGATACGCCCAGGCTAATAACAAGTACATGCATTCGTACAACCCGTCGGAACCGTCGTCGTACTTGATGTAAATACTACATTAACAATTTATACGGGTGGGCGATGTGTCAACCATTGCCATACGCCAAATTTCAATGGGTCGAAGACGCTGCGAACTTTGACCCAAGCGCGATCGCTCCGGATTACATTCTCGAAGTCGATCTCGAGTATCCGCAGCACATACACGACCGACACACTGACCTACCGTTCTGTCCGACACGCGATAAGCCGCCCGGCAAGCGCGAACATAAACTTTTAGCGACGCTGTACGATAAACAGCGTTACGTCATCCACTACCGCAACCTGCAGCAATGTACTCGTCACGGTCTTCGCGTAACAAAGATACATCGGGTGCTACAATTCGGTCAATCTCCATGGCTTCGCGATTACATCGAACTTAATACAAATTTCAGAACGCGCGCGAAAAACGATTTCGAAAAAAATTTATATAAATTAATGAACAACGCGGTATTCGGTAAAACTATGGAGAATGTGCGCAACCACGTTGACGTAAAATTATTAAC